CTAGCTATGAGTCTCGATTCAGTAGTACAGCAGACGAGTACTACCTTATGAAGGAGGTCTAGACGATATACTCATATCTCAGTCTTTGCAACGAATGCTATTACTTCTAGCTGCTTGCCCAAAATCAACGATATGAATTTCACTCCTTTATCATTTCTTGGGGATTTGAGAACCGGTAACACGGTTAGTGAAGGCTTAGGTTAACTCAAGACATGATCCGGGATGTCCCGTAGACAATCGGGGTCAAGCAGGAAAATGAACCACATGACTCGGGGTCGACTCCCGATAGTCCCAATCTACAGGATACCTATCTAGGTAAAAATCGGCTTTGGAGGAACGGTATCTTATTTTCTATATCTGGCTCTCTGAGAGTTCCGTCAGGTCTATTATCACTTCCAATACTACGTTCTGAGGCGAACCACAATACTGTATTCAAGGTTGCCAATACAACTACGCGCAAGAACATGGGACGAATGTAACAACACAAGTAGATGCAATGCTGCCCTATCTAAAATACGGCTAACTTGCTGGAAAGTTGATGGTAACCCTAAGTATGTCCTAGTAAGAAGCCATGAATGCTACATAGTACGTTGAAGCTGGTAAGGAGAGACAACCGCCAAGACCGTTCTCACAAATCAGAGTCGGAAAAGCAGTGGAGATGGTACCGCATTAGGGATATTCGGGCGTTGCGACGTTAACACATGTTTTCAGCTTTGCCTATTAGCCAGTCGGACTCCGTATCTGAGAGCTACGGTATCATATTCGATCGGCCCAGCTACCGCCGTGTGCGATCAGGTCAGCTGTATGTACGCACGGCGAAGGGTGAGGTGTGCGTAGGAAAAGGGGAGGGGTCGGTTCAGCACTCAGTCGAGTAAACGAAACGAACCTCATTCGCCTCCTTATCTCAATATCTCGTAACAACTTCCGCATGCGCGGTCTTTTTCTATGCCCCTCCAATTTTCTGAATGGTACTACTGGTTTATAAGTGTATTCCGGGATGCCGCGGGCTCTGATTTCTCATATCCTGGATCCCCCCCCACGGTGCCATGCACAGAACTTCTAAATGTCTACCTAATCAACTTTCTGAACCCTCGCTCGGTATTGTTTACTATGGCAGTGCCCTCGATATCCCCGGCAGATTTCGCCGCGTGGTTCAAAAGCCTCCCCGAATGCGGCGTAAGTCTTATCCGAAAAGCAAAGCTATCTATTGTGAAGATGTGTTGACGTGTTGTTACTTCAGGCCAGTTGCCTCGTTGAGGCCATTACTACTAAGTCAAACTGTTCCCTCACAGACCCAGCATGCTCTTGTGCAAGTCAAGGTGTACAAGCGGCTGCGGGGGCATGTGTTCTTCGAACATGCAATATACCTGAGGCCCTTTCTACTCAGAATCTAACCAACTCGTTATGCGGAATCAAACCCGCCAACGACCGAGAGTTCATCCCGGTTATCTATACCTTTGTGGTTTTGTCATCTATCATCGTCATACTACGCTTTGTAGTCCGTTTAACTGAACGGATCCCGCTGTGGTGGGATGACTATGCGGCACTTGTTTCTGTGCTTATATCAATTGGTTTTACCGCCCTATGCGGAATTTGTATGTTTAGCCCGTCCATCCTAGTTACTCATCTAATTCTTCATTAGTTGGCGATCTAGGTGTAGGCCTTGACCTATGGGCTGTACCACAAGAAAATATCTCGACAATCCTCATTGTATGTCCATACTACCTGTCCTTTACAACCTACGCTAGCTCTTGACGCTTATATCTGTATCCCTAGCTGTTTTGGGCAGCACTCTTATGTTATGCCACGTCGCGGTTCTTCGTCCGCGTCTCCATTAGCCTATTTCTAATGCGTATTTTTCGCGTGTCCGCTGCCCGGCCACTTATTATCTTAACATTGGTGCTCAATGGAGCTATCACCATTACTTATATCTTCTGCATCATATTTCAGTGTACCCCTGTATCGTATTTCTGGAATGTCTGGGACGGTCTCCACGAGGGGTACTGCATTAATCAATGGGCCGTATTCCTGTCTGGCGGCGTCATCGCTACTTCGCTAGATGTAGCTCTCATCCTCCTACCCGTGCGCTGGATATCTCAGTTGCAATTTTCAAATGCTAAGAAGATTACCACTCTCGGCATGTTCTCACTCGGTATCCTGTAAGCCCTTACTACCTGCGTCCCTATCCCCTAAGGGACGTTCCTCCCAAATTCTGAGCTCCCTGCTGACACTCTTTCATAAAGTGTTATTGTCACTAGCATCATGCGCATAGTGTCTCTATACACCTTCACGCATTCTCATGAAATCACAAGAAATCTCCCGAACCTTGCCATTTGGGGCGGACTTGAGCTCTACGCTGCCAACATCTGCGCGTGCTTACCGAGCCTTAGGCCGTTGGTTGCATTGAGTGTGTCAAACTTCCGAGCTTGGACCACCGGTGCCTCAAAGGGCTCCGGTTCTTCGTCTCTAGGTTTGTCGGACTATCCTCTTCACGGTAGTGGGAAAAGGAAGCTTCCAAGCGACGATGGCAAGAATGTCTCACACTTTGAAACACGCACTACAGCTAGTAACGATCTGGCTAGTAGTCTATAGAGAGAGCTAGATGCTTAGCTGACTCATGGGGTTATATGCTGTAAAGGAGTAACAACGCGATAAACAAGTGTATATTTATTGATGGAATCGCTAAGATATGATGCTATTATAGCTACTAAAAAATGGTTTGTACAATATTAAGTAGTCTATGACTGGTGTAACAACAAACTCAGTTTAGATGAGTCATGGTGCCGAGACATATCACCTAGGTACTGGTACCCACTTCCAGGCCTTTAACTCCCTAACGGAGCCTAAAACGAAGGAACAAAGATATCCCCTACATACTTCTTAATACTTCGTCATCTCGTAGAAAACCCCTACTTAATAATCCACAACATCGACACCAATAACCAGAACAGAGACAATGTCGCAAAAGTCTTGCCCAGACATGGGACTGCTATACTTCGCCTACGGCTCAAACCTATCGACCGCTCAGATGCGATCTCGATGTCCAAACTCAACACCAATAGGCCTGGCGCATCTAGAGGGCTGGACGGTAAGCACTTCTTAACACCATTTTCTTCACATCCTACTATGGCCTATGGCCAAGGAGCTTTTTAGGCTCAAGATGGACCTCAAGGGCTCCAGGTGCCAAATATTGGCCGTTCGTAAACAACAACTGCTAACTGTGAGCTGCAGTGGATTATCAACGAACGTGGATATGCGAATGTTGTACCAAGCCCGGAAACGGCGCCAGGGGTAGGCGTCTATGGACTAGTGTACCGACTGCATCCTAAGGATGAAGAGAATCTAGACATTTGTGAAGGGGTAGGCTATGCATATGAGCGGGAGATGTTAGAGGTTACGTGGGTTGCTACTTCCGATCAAAAGCCAATCCCAGGCTCACTACCGGCCACGCCTGGCTCTCCCCATGACACCAAATCTAAAAAGAAAAGAAAGGGAAAGGGGGCGAAAGATGATGAGGAATCCACGCCATCATTGCCGGAAGGAAAATTCCAAGCCCTCGTGTACGTGGATTCTCTTCGCGTCACGCCCTCAAGGCCGAAGACAGAATATATCGGCCGGATGAATACGGGTATCAAGGAGGCATCAGGGCAGTGGGGACTGTCCGTTGCATATGTAACTGATGTCATTCGACCATATCTTACGCCACAGTCCAGGGGTCGGGCGTTCGGCGCCTAAGAGCCAATTGTTAGCAAAGGCGACCAACCATTGATACCCAAGGGCGTCGTCTTGGGACAGATCTAATGACTAATCCGGAGATCAATTTGGCATCAATATGTCATAGACATTGCGGGGGACTAGTCTACTAAGCACTTCGTGAACACGCGAATTTGCTGGCAAGGGGCAAAAGACTGAAGATAAATAAAGTTAATAATTAGAGTTATCTCTATAGCTGGATCGCCTGAACTCGCATGCATGTGCATCCAATCTCAAGATTCAAGTTAATGTGAAAGATTAAGCCTCTTGTCTCACTTTAGTAGCCCAAAGCTAAAGCCTCGCACTCAGTAGAATTTCACGCAATGGCAGTGATATTTAGGTAAGCATGTAGAACCACTAGGGCCCATATTATAAGATTTCTGCAATATCTCGCTAGAGCTTTTAGATATTTTTACTGCTTGCATTACACTTATCTAGTAGAAGAGACAGAGCTCTTTCTAGGACAATAGTGCGCGTATTTAGGGGCTTAAACTCCAAAGGGTTCAGACTGATCTAAAGGGGTTATTATTCGAAGCTTTTCCTATATATACTTAGCTATAGCTTATTGAAAATAAGTGGCTGGTAATACCGGTGGCTGGGTACAACGCCACACACCAGTCTACCATATATACTACAGGTACCTCCGCAGTACAGTTACTGCTAAACTAGTTCTTTAACCCAATATACAACTACAGCTGTTCATAAGCTAAATTCAAGATAGCTTAGCTATAAACTTCTAGCTAAAATTCCAGTACTCATAAGGTGGTTCATGCATTTATGTATAGCTGGAAGTTTTCTAGTACTAAGGTTCAAAGTATACAAAAAACTTGACGTTATCCCTGTAAGGTAGGGTTTTCGAGGGAGGGTTGAAAGAAAGGTTGATTTGTAACCATCCGAGATGCGACATCGTCTTTGGAGATAGGGTGTTCAGCGATGGGTCTAATTCCAGGTCGTATTTAGCACACCCGTCCCAGAAAAAGAGGTTGAAGTCGTTATAAGTGTAGAATACCGCCCGGCATTCCGCCGAAAATGACTCGCCCACGAGGAATAACGGCGGACACCACCAATCGACGGTGTTAGAATAAGAAGCGTGATACCGACTGCCAAGTCAGCAACTCCTATCCGAGTCGACTGCGGGCGTGTTGCTAAGAGACCGGCGCTCTTGATGCGGGCAGTCCGGGGCGCAGAGGATCTTTGATGTGTTACACATCAATACAAGATCCAACCGTCGGCGTCCACCCGGCGTAGCCCTAGTGGCGCAATTGGCTAGCGCATAGAGTTTCTACGACATGACTATCGGTTATTCGTAACAAGCGCCTCTAAGGCTTTGGGTTCGAGTCCCAACTGGGGTTCTTTTTGCCCTCCCCTAGCGCTAAATGTTCCATTACTACTCGGCGTAGTTCCAGAGAGTTACAAGACTGTATAGGTAAGGATTTTGAGACGAAGTTCGGGCGCGAGATGGGAGAAGCGGAATGGTGGCTGTGATCTCTCGGTGCCATCAATTCCAGGCGCAGCTCTAGCTTTTTCCACTGTCTGCCTAGAGACCTTTTGTAAGGCATGATTAGATTAGGTTTTGGTCTAAGCTGCATAAGGTAGTTTTTAAACCCGCATAGCTGATAGAGACTACTATATTGCTGCATCGATATTGTCGGGATTGCAATCCGATAAGCCAAGTTCAGTCATTCCAGTAAACCGTGTGTAGAAATGGGGTTTATGATTCTGTCCTAATGGCTGAAGAAATCTTGCTAGTGAGTACGAGAGGAGCAACAGGCGTACGGGCCATAAATGCCGCCCAATGATCTATGAAATCGGCGGTCTGATTGACGAATTTTAAGCCGTGTCAAAAGGTTGAGCGAAAACATAGAAGTCCTAGATGAAGCATTCAAATAATATAAGACGACGGTGATATGCAAAGAACAGGATAAATTCCGAGTATGGGGACCAACAGGACAAGAGGAGATTATGAGCATCGTATAAGTGTTCCTCAATCTCCTAATTTCACAGGAGTGGCGAGATCGGTTTATAACAAGGCCTGGCTCGTAGACGAATTAGTCTGATTCCTTGATATTTGATCCAGGGTAGATACTAGTGTCTAGATACCCCCGCAATATAAAGAAAAATAAAAGCTCGAGTAATTGGTGAGAGAAGGAGCAGACTATAGCTCGGTTGGCTCTGGGAGTATTGCACGGTAGACTTGGTTGTTAGAAGAAATCAATATTAGGAATATCGCAGCAGCCTTCTAGTCTAGAGACTGGAGGTGTTGACAGGTGAGTGGCTCATTCTAGGAATACATAGATGATAACGACTGCCTCTAAATGGGTAATTCAAGTTACGATGACTTAATAACGTCATAAGATTCTGTATATCAAATACGACGTTAACCCTCTATACCTGTACAGTAGACACCCTGGTCGTGGCCTTACCAGCAGTAGTGTGAAGGTGCTTTATCTATGTGTTTATTAGGTATTTCTATGGAAGCTACAGAGAAGTCCTGATCTACTTAGGAGAGACGAACTATGCGAACTTGAGGTGCCACAGAAATAAACTCTAGAGATGGCTGAGGCCATACCACACAGGCCTTGGTCGGATACAATGAGTTGACAGAACATAGTTCGCCAGCTTAAGAAGAAATTCTGTCTCTATATAGCGTCGATAAGTTAAAACTAGGTTATTCAGCAGCTACAATTGTAATACGTGATAAGAGATTGATGATGTTTAACGAAAAAGATGGTTTCAAATACATAGCTGAGCTACTACATGGTCGCTTCTACGTAACGTTATATCCATTGGGGCTCTGTAACACTAATTCTTAAGTTCTTCCTAATGATTACGATAAGAACATTAACTCTATACTATAATAATGTCTAATACAGACACTCCTAGGACTACACGGTTACCTCTCCACGACTCTATCACCGAATATAGAAACCTCAGTTCTAACATATTCAGTTACCCCTTCCCCAAATCCACAACTTCAAGAAACTCGGCGATTTGACGCTTTTCAAGAGGTTCACTGCTCGCTGTCAAACCAAAACCTCCCTCTGTGCCGGCAGACATGTTGTCCTCTCGACAATGTCTGAGTGTACCACGAGTGGGGGGCGACGATGTATTCTTTCTCCCATTTTTCACTGTAGACTCGTCCGCTCTCATTTCTGCCGCATTCGAGTTCGATCTCGAGTTGTGCCTGATCCAGTTCTTTTCGAGGGACAGGGTCAGAATAGAGATATTTGAAGTTGCAGACAATCCACGCAACACTCTCGGTAGAGTTGACTGGGAACCATTTCGCTACATGACTCCTCTGGGATACTTTAGAGCCGTTCTCTCCCCATTCAATCATCGCGTCCTTGGCGGCTGTGGAATATTCTTGTGATATTGGGAGATGATGCATGCATGTTATCTCTGTTATGGGTATGACCTGGCTAGCGAGTATAATCGTCTCTACTAACGTAGTGTTGGGCGCAATGTTGGGAGTGTTGTCGATAAATGGCAAAACCGGTGCGGTCAGCGCCATGCCAGCGGTGACAAGGAAGGATGCAATATGCATTATGAGCGTAATTAAGACTGTGTGTATGTAGGTGATGTGTGTGTGATTACTGAATGGGTTGTGTTAGGGAAGTTAGAAGAATAGAATTACTCGGGGTGAGAAGTTGCACGCCTTAAATATAGGTCTAGTGGTCATGAGTTCAACTAGGTAACTATCACTTGCCCATACCCCTACCCATATCTCCTAGTAAACTATATTCTCTTAACTTTCACGCTCTCATGATGAACTGCGTGAGTTACACGCATGAAGGCTTATAGTTAAGTTTAGGAAAAGTCTTATTAACCGATATCGCCCTATCATAGTTCAGGACTTAACGGGAGGTTCTAACTGTAAGTTATCGTAGTCATACTCTAGGCGCTAAGTGGCCGTTTAACTTTGAGCTAAGAAACTTATTAGTTCGTAAAACCTTGATTCAGCAAATTGATAGCAACATCATAAGCTTCAGTTCTCGCAGCTATCTGCTTTTTGCTCTTATCAAAGTTATGACCACACTCGCGCATCCTTCTCAAGACCACCCGTCTACCAGTACCTTGAGCGTCTTCTTTGGCCTTCTTAGCGAATTCTTCAGCCTCTAATGCAGATACATCATACTCCGCAGTTAGAATGAGTGTGTTTCCTGCAAGACTCATCCCGTGTCCATATAGGGGTGATATACGTGGGTCTCTCGGATCCATGTCCCCAATATAACCTTCTCGAAACAATCGCGTCCAAAATAGCGGTGCGCGTCCAGCTTTGGGGCCGTCGACCGGTGCCTTCCGCTCGCCTGGATCTTTAGCCATGCTGACCGAAGGATAGAAGGCGATCACGCTTCGAACCGTGTCGGCTGGGAGCAGCGTCGGAGCGACTAGCGCTAGCGTACCACCGGATGAGAAGCCAGAGATGGAGATGCGCGCGGCATCGTACGCATCTGGACGCGACTGCACGTAGCGCACCGCATCTTCGACGTCATGGAGAGCAGCAGGAAAGGGGAATTCGGGGCCAAGCCGATAGTCGACGTCTAAAACCACATGCCCAGTTCGCTGGGAAATTTGGCGGCAAAAAAAATCGTCGCCTCCAAAAAGGGGGAGCGCGAAGCCGGAGCCGAAGCAATTGATCAGCACAGGTCTCGGTGCTTCCACCGCCTCGGTAGTGAGAGTGGATGGCGAGTAAACATGTGCCCGAATTGAGCGACCCGCGTCGCGTGAGGGGATACTGAGCACCGCATCTGGTTTTGCACGGACAGGCGGTGTCAAGAGGCGGACAATCAAGCGAATTGAGGAAACCAATAGCTTGAGGCGAAAATATCGGAGACCTGCAAGAAGTTTCTTCATCTTATGAGCTGAAAAACAGAGTTGTGTCTAGAGAGATTGCCACGTAATGAAATCATAACAGATGACCCGTTGAGCTGAAAGGCCAGGGGCGGTGATAAGCATCACTAACACTAGATAGTAATAAGTAATTGGTGCCTAAGGATGATCGGAAAGTCGGCCCTTTTCACCGACGCATTCTACCCCTCTCGTAAGCACGATGATCCCTATTCAGCAACATCAAAATCTTCATCATCATTCGTCTTCACTGGCTTATTATAATAACCTAGAGTATAGGCCATGGACTCTAGTCAGCAGTTCACCTAGTATTTCAATTGGGCTACTAGAAAATTAAGGGTTACGCTTTGACGCCGAGGTTATTTCCTCATCATAGTTGAGCCCGAAAGTCTTAAAAGTTGAACCATCGACTATCTAAGTCATACGAAAAGCATTGAAGTTAAACAGATCCAGTAAGCTTTGACTAACGCAATGAAATTTTGACTCGAATACTAAGGTAGTGTAGGAAATTCAGCTACCTATGCATACCTAGGATTCCCGGGGCCTATTTAAAAATCAACCAAAGTTCGATATAGAGTTTACCTCAAACCTTGATTCAGGTTCTAGTACAATTATGGATCTAGCTCCTTTTTCGATTCCTACGTGTAGCTATACCCTTCCAAATACTATAGTCTAGATATCTAAGCAGAGCTTTCCTTGATCTTAGCAACTAAGCTTTTTAGGCCCAGCTTAGACACTCGTATAAGCCGTACTCTAAAGTCCGCAAGAGCCAGTTGGTTAATACAACCTGTGAAGCATGAACTATCTACGTAGATCTAAGTTCGTATTTACTCATACCGCCCATCTCACTGCTAGCTTTAGCTAGATGTGTGACAACATCTTGTCTATGATGAGACTAAGAAACCACTACAGTATACTTTATAACCAAATAGAGACTCTATGCGGCTATGGCATTCCATATGGCGGTGCCGGGAAGCAGCAAATGGGGAATGTAATTTCGAGACTTAAAGACACTGATATAGCAATTGAAGTGGCGGTATGTGGTTCGGTGATGCGGGATGTCTGACCATACACCAGATAGGTGTCGATTCATCGTCACCGAAATGGCCTTAATATACGCAATTATACCCCCACATACCTCTGATCATCTGCTTGATAGCGGGTATCCTGTTTCATAGACGAAGAGATTTGGTGGCTTGAATGGCGGTGAAGTTAATATGCTAATACTAAGGAATTAAGGTTAAGGGGAACTGAGCAGCACATAACACACCCACAGATTCATGGCCATGGCCTATCGGGTTTCCAAATTACTATCTTAGGGGAAGTGATAGGACATGACGCACGTATAGTCCAGAGTCTCCAGGCTTATGTTCGACGTGTTACGCTTCAACACCTAGCATCTTTGCCCCAATTATTCTTTCTATAACTCCCCCGCTTCGTTCTTCGCTTCCGCGTCGTGTGGCATGGGGAACCTCGGGATATTGATTAAAACACTAGTAGCATA